GTAATGTTGAGCTGATTTTTTTTTTTTTTTTTGGACCAGAAATGACCTTCCCACCCCCACCCCCAGGAAAACCAACACTTATCCTGCTGGACATACTTTTAGGGGTACTAACTTGGGGGCATTTAATTATTGGTTATGCTTCAAAGATTCATTTCTAAAAGCTACATTATTTTAAAGTCCCAAGGAGTATTTAAATTTAATCATGTTGCTTTTTTTTTAAAATGCTCGCCCAAGGATATCTTTATTGGTTTTAGAGAGAGAGGAAGGGAAGACGAGAGAGAGGGGGAGAAGCATTGATCAGTTGCCTCCTGTATGTACCCTGACCAGGGAGCGAACCCCAAACCTAGGTATGTGCCCTGACTGGGGATCGAACCTGCAACCCTTTGCTGCACAGGACGATGCTCCAAGCAACTGAACCACCCAGCCAGGATTCATACTGCTTTTTTTATTGTTGATAAAGAACTGGGAAAGGAAGTTAATTTGAACACGTATTTTAGAAGAGCTGGAAAGCAAGCTAATAGCCTGTATACTTCTATTAATTATTAAGCTTTTATTAATTATGAGTGAGTTCTCTTGAGGAATGGCAAGGACATGATAACCGTTCTGGCCTACAATAGATTTATGAACGTGGAGAATTTGACCTTATGCATTAGAATTTTTAAAAAACCCTGCAAGCACGCGAAATGAGTGTGTATTACAGTGCTCTGCAATTCATTCTTCTTACAGCTTATGCTCACTACATTTATATGAATGACTGGGCAAAGGATGAGAATCATGTAAAGTCTAATGAGCAGCATTTATTTTAATTAGAAAAGAAGCTTTGAAATCATTGTCACAAGCTTCTCACTATTTAAAAAAAAAAAAAAGAATGCCTATCGCTTGCAAAGCTGCTTTGTTGTGAGACAGACCACGCTTCTTTTTCTGTATCCTCATGCGACGCCCCCCCAAACTGCTCTCTATCCTGTCCCAGGTGCCCCCGATTCCCTTCCCACAAGTACTAAGGCATCGCAGGTCTGAGGTGGACAGATCCTTCAAGGTCACGTGACGATGGCCAACATTTGCTCAGTGCTTACTCTGTGCTGCTCTACGAAGAACTTGGTAACAGTTAGCTCCCCTCATCCCTACAGTAGCCTGTGATGCCGTCCTGTCTAACACCCTCGTTGTTTTACCGACGAGGACGCCGAGGCAGAGAGAAGTCTCCTGCCTTGGCTAAGGTCACTCAGCTAGTAAGGGGGGGGAAGCCGAGACGCAGAGGCCGCCGCCAGGTTCCAGACTCCCCGCTCCCAGCTGTGCCTCCACAGCGCCTGGAGCAGATGCCCCGGCTGGCACTGCTCCGCCTGCGCTCGCTGGGCCTGGCCCGCAGGCCGATCCGAGCACCCCGCTTCCATGGGGTTGAGGAGACGATTGCTGTCCGTGACCGTGGCAAAAGGGAGCCCCGCGCTCGGTCACGTGCACCCTCGTCCTTGGGCAGCCTGACTCCTGGCCTCACCCCCTCTTTGCTCATCCGCTAGGATTCTTCGTGCGCTGTGGGCAAGTACGTCGTATCTCTGATGGTCTCTCGTGTCTCGGCGGCCGCAGGAAGGGCAGGGGGTGCCGAGCCTGCCCACAAGCGTGAGCTGCCAGGTGCTGAGCGTCAGGTCACTCGCCGGGACCCTTCCTTCCTCCAGGTCTCACGGAAGCCGCCTGGCGCCTTGGCCGGACGGCTCAGGCGATTGGAGCATGATTCTGCCACCAAAAGGTTACAGGTTTGATTCCCTGTCGGGGCACGTACGGGAGGCAACCGATCAACGTTTCTCACATCGATGTTTTTTTTCTCTCTCTCTCCATCACTAAAAATATCCTCGGGTGAGGATTACAAATGAAACATCTGGAAAGTAGAGTATCGGAGTGCTTTCTGTTTTAGGTTGTATTTAACCTCGCCTATATTCCCGCCCTGCACTGCAATGCCTAGATGACGCTGCACAGTACAGTGGATACGTATTTGTTCAAATAAATGTCCAGAAATCTCTTTTAAAATACTCCTGACAAATGTAACACGTACTGATCGGCAGTTTGAGGCCCCTGGAAATACCCCGTAGAGCTGGGAGGGCTCCGTCACGCACAGGGGGCTGGACCCCAGGCCCGGAGTTTTTGTATCGGTAGGTCTGGAATGAGGTCTGAGGATTCTCATGTCCTCCAAGGTCCCAGGTGCTGCGGAGGCCGCCAGGCTGGGGACCACACCTGAGGACTCTTGCCCGTAAGGCACTCTCGGAGGGGACATACACCTTTCCCAACTGCGAGATGGTCCACGGAGCTTGGATGGTCACACCGCCTGGCAGCTGGGGCGACAGCTTCCTGTGGTGCTTCTCTCCCGTGAGCTATGCTTGAACGGGGGTCTTCCCCGCCCTGCAGACCTGCGCTCGGAGGAACAAACCCAGCTCCTGACCCTTTTACCCAAGCTGCTTTCTACCCCATTGCTTCACTCACTCTGTCCTCTCCTGCCCGTGTGGGGCCTCCTGGTGGCCACGCGCCACCAGTCCCAGCCACTGCTGGTGACGGGTCAAGGTCAAGAGCGTGGGTTCCAGGGGCGGATTGCCTTGGGCTCCGGCACTGGTTCCTCACTCTGGACCCAGCCCTCGGCAGCTTACTCTGTCTGTGCTGCCTGTCCTTCATCTGTAACTGGGTTTTAATAGCAACACCAGCCTCATAGGGTTGCTGCCTCACAGCGACTGCCTTGCTTAGCGAGGGCGCTGAAGTCCGTACAGACGCAGAGGAAACCATCGATTCTCTGTATCGTGCCCGACGTAGCGTTTCGCCCCTGCGTGTAGCTCGGCGCTTTCCTTGGCCAGCGTCACCCACTGCTGCAGTGCACCTGGAGTGGTTTCCTTGTGCCAGTTTCGAACCGAGGAAGCATGGGCGGCTCTGAGTCGCCCACCAGTGGTGGGGGGAGGAATGTCTAGTTGGGTTTTTATCAAAGAGAACAAAGCTCTTCAGGGCTGGACGTCCGATGGAAGTCCGCAGCGATTTTACTTTCCTGGAAGAACTTCGGGCGTAGTTTTGCCATGAAGGAACGTAGACACCAGAGGGTCAGCCTCTGAGACGTGAGGTGCGGAAGCAGCATGGGTACCTTCGCACTCGGGGGTCCGTGGTGTCCACTGGCTAGAACGGGGCCTTGTTCGCACTGCCACATTGAGGGAGGGACAAGACATGGGACCGCCTGCCACGCCTGTCCTCGGAGATGGCGGGGAGGCCGGGTGGGTCATTTGGGAAGGGGGCGGGAGGGTCCAGCTCAGTCAGCAAGCGAGAGCTCAAGGGGTTCCCCAGCATCCACGCGGAGCTCAACAAAGCATGACACAGTGAGACTCGGCGAGAAGCCGGGGCGCGGTCGCGGACGTGGGGCCCAGCCGGGGGGGCTGTGGAATGCAGGGCTCCCCCTTGTCAGGCTGGCTGAGCTTCAGGGGCACGGCTCTTACCTCCCAGGACGCAGACTGTCGGGTGCAGCTGGCGGGGGGGTGGGACCCCAGGAAGTGCTTTGCTCAGGTGCAGCGCTGGCCTGGCAGGGGCGCAGTCGGGGACGGTGGGCGTCTCACCGCGGTCCGCGCCAGCTTGGCACGGATGGTGGACAGGCGCCAAGCGTCCGCAGGGGCGGCAGGAGGGCTTCCCATGGAACTGGGGGCCTGGCGGGGGTCTCCTCTCGGGGCAGAGCCAGCGTGGGCTCGGATGAGGTTTGTGAGCCCAGATGAAGGAAAGGGGAGGGCAGGTGCAAGGCGGGACGCGACCTCTCCCTGCCCCTTTTTCTTTGACGTCCTGTGAGTGGAGAGCTTTGCTGAGGTGGGGAGGGGGCCTCCCATGAATAGAGTCCCCACGCTGGGCACAGGTTCCTTCCCATGGCCCTGCTCTGCCCGTGGCCAGCAGACTGAGCCAAGCAGAGGGAGGGGCATGTTCCCGGCCTCAGGGGGTCTCAGGTAACACAGCTTGTCACCTCAGCTCCGTGGAAACAGCTTCCATCGATGGTTCACAGACGAAAGGGAACTTTACGAAGGAAAACTGCGAGGTGTGGAGCCTTTAGCCTCCGACGTTGCTGGGGCCTGTGCTGCCGCTTCCCTCCCCAGCCCGCGCCCCCCCCGCCAGGCGGGGAGCAAACCCACCATGCGCCTGTCCGAGGCCAGGGCTGCTTTGGGACTCCAGGGGAAGTGGCGTCCGGGGACACCAGATTAAAACCCCCTTCTTGATACTGGTGCAAAAGTGACCAGGTCACCAGGCCCTCGAGGCCACAGGAGAGCCAAGGTCTGCAGAGGAAGGGGGAGGCGTTTCATGGAAAACGGAAGCTCAGAGAAACCGCAGTGGAATCAGAGAGGGCGCCGAGGGGGGCTTGGGGTCTCTGTTGGCAGGCTGGCGCGGGGGCTGAGCATCAGGGCGCTCTCTGTCCCTGCCAGGTTCTCTGGGATCTGGGGGCCCCGGGGGCTGTGAAGGTCCCTAGGAATGCCGGGGATGTGGTGAAGACCCCGGGGAACCTGGGGGCTCGCCTGGCTGAACCTGGAAGAGTCAGAGGATAAGCTTACAGGTTCCCGGGCAGAGGCTCTGCTCAGAACAGCTGGGAACTTGAATTCAGGTTCTGCAGTTCTAGAGGATTGTTCTGCTTTCTGTGGCGGAGTCACATTTGAGCAAGATGCAATCCCTTAGAAATAAAACGGGGTACAGTTACACACCAAGGACAAGTGAGTGCTCCCTTAAGGCAAAGATCCTTTGTAGATTTCATTTTTAATGGCCTTTTTTTTACAAAACAAAAGGGTTAGAGTTCACTTGTATGCATAACTGATCGGTCTAGTCCTCCCTTGCCCTGAGAGGAATATGGGCCACATACATAGCGATAAGGTTATAACAACAGGGTTTGGTTATAAATGTGGTTCAGAGTTATACTGAGATTGTTACATTCAAAGAAGCTCCTTTTCTTAAAAGAAATGTTCTACTTTTACAGTGGTTACATTCTAATGTTCTTTAACCTTTTATTTTCTTACAAGATAATAGTTGGAGAGACTGCAGTGTTTTGCCTGCAACTGGCCACAAGGGATTTTGAAAACCAGGAGAAAACGATTTTAACCGGAGACTGTTGTTATATAAACCCACTGGTGCGGAGGACCGTAAGGTTTCTTGGTATGTGTTCCCTGAATTGTTTTTGTTATTGCTGGCACGGTGTTTATGTATAAGTTAACCTTTAAAATGACCAGCCTTTTAACTGTGTGCAAATATTAGGTTACGTTTTCTTTGAATTGCCTCAATTTAGTTTTAAAGATAAACATGGCATGTTAGCTTCTCAAGTGTATGTAAAACTCCATTTCAGTTGCCATTTTCAGGTAACTTTAAGGGGAAAAAGAACACCACCCTTGGATGTTTAATATTTATTTGAGAAACTAAAGGTTATGTAATTAAAAGAAATGATTTACTGTGTTTATGGGGAGAAAGGATAATCTCGTTAGCTTGTTGAGTATCATGAAGACCAGGAAAATAGCTTGGCCAATAAAGGAAATGGAGCAATTGTTAATTACCATATGTCACACTCGATGCACGACTTCTGTTTTCTGTCTTTTTAAGTCAGCAAAAATGTATTGACAGTTTTATTCGAGGGCAGGATTTACTGACACTTTATGTTTCAGTCTCAGATTCCTGCACTAGTGCATGTGAACGTTGATGAATTATTGAAAATCATCTCAGTTCAACAGAAACTTGACCAAGACAAATTTTTTAACTGATACAATAAAGTTAATATAAATTACTGTTTCCTGGAGTTCTAAGATGAAAGTATGTCTGTATATATATGTCTAATATAAATTCTGATCAGTATTAAGATTAAGGATACTGTAATCCCTCAGTATATTTCTCTTATTGGTGGGATCAAGATAAAGACTTCTCAGTAGTACGCATGGATCTCCTAATCTGTATATAAACCCACTTAAAGACTAATTGGATATCAGCATGCTTTTAAATCTCTCTGAAGATGAAAGGTCTTCTCATCTCAGACTGTTCTTTTTATTGCCATGAAGTTATATATCTCCAAAGCCGTCATTTATACTCTTGAAGGGAGAACTTTCATATGAAACTTTGAAAAGGTTTTTTTCTCTACATGCAACAATACTGTGTTCTTGCCTCATCTTTGCATGAGAGTCATTTAGTAATAACAAAAGAAGCAGTAATATACTTACCACGAATACTGATGGAATTCACACCTCCCTAAATACTATCAAGTCAATTATATTATGCCTATGCCAGTAGAAGTATTTTTTCTGCATTTGCACACATATCTCTAAATAATACATGGCACACGTTTCATGTGCTTTCGATTCTCCGCATGTTTCTTGCTTTCATGACTTTATGAACTATTTAGGAGTGTGTCATTTGTTTCTTGTTCTCCCACGTACCATGACTGGGTTTCCTAGTGTGTTATAATAAAACAGGAAGCTTATAAGCAGAACATAATTGCATAATAGGACATCGCTCTTTATGGTCCTTTGTTCTGGACACCAGCACAAAGGACACACGGCTGGGATTGCATTTGCATAAGCATCTTGTAGTCAACAATATTGGCTGTGGGCCTGACACAATGACATTTTCCTTCTAGATAAAGCATATTTGGGACGCTGGCAGGCATGGAGACCTTTCCCTATCCTCATCAGATATTTCTCGCTAAGCAGAAAAACTTACCACACCAGATAGAGAGCGTGGTTTGGCTAACGGGAATGAGGACATCTTAGCCTCGATGTGATGAAGGCTTGTCCTTTAGGCCCTGGCCTAGGCCAGGTGTTTGGCAGGAGACGCCGTGCCCACGAACCGTTTATTGGCTTTATTCCCTTTCATTTCTCTGCCTCTCCCAAGGTTCTGCTTTTGTTAACATATACTTGTATGACTCACGGAAGGCTGATAAGATGTAAAGAAAGGGCTCTTGTTATTTCCTTTTCAACTTTTTAGATAAAGAGAGAACCAAGGTCTTTGTTTCATTGTCATTTTATAGTCAGAGCTTTGCTATGTGTCGGTTTCTTGCATGAGCCTTTCATCCTCTTACATAATATTTTGAATGTTAAAAGGATAGTCATGCATCTAATGCCAGAAGATTATTTGACCCTGTGCAACTTTCCTGGTGATTTCTTACACAATAGCCAACAATTATGTACAGGCTTAGGAAATAATCCAGAAATATATGTCTAAGAAGGAAAGCATCTAATTATTATAATAGAATTATATGAATTTTTAATAAACCAGTTGCTTGGAAAGTATTATTTTGGTGTAGTTTTAAAATGTCCTGATGAATTTTATTGTAGTTCCCCAAATTATAAAAGAATGGATTTCTTGACATTGGTACCACATTTTTGAAGGCTGTATCTCTAAGGTTAATTGAAAAGGGTGCCAAAGAATTTATCTACCCTATCTAAGCAGAAATATAAGTTTTGATGGCAACTGCATTGAATTTAGAAAATGTTTTTTAGTATTTGAGTAAACTGGCAAGTTCCCTAGAAAAGGGAGGGGGAAAAATCCATGTACTTAATTTTATACCATTAAGTAACGAGAAAAAGTAAATTTTAATACTGTGAGGATCATTGGAAACTTATCATTTTGATTGCTCTATTGCTTACTGGATTGCCCCACCTTTGATAACTTAAAATCCAATTCATAGAAGGTAAGGTGGGGACTAAGTCGCAAGCCGCTACGTGACTTTTAAAAATGTGGCTCGGAAAGCCGTGTTTCCCTGGTGTGCCCACGAAGACAGACGGCGTCGGACCCGACTGCTAATGAGCGCTCTCACGGGGTCCGCGTCAGCCCGAGTGGGCTTAAGAGGCACCATCAGAGGGAGACGGCTGCTTTGCTTTATGCTGGTGACATTAAAAAACAGTTTCGAAATGGGAGGAAATAAAGACCGCTAACATTAGCAAAAGGGGAGAGGCCGAGCCCTCCTGGAGGAAACGTGGCTCCGTTTAAAATCGCAATCCCCAAACGCAGGCTTAGAAGGCGTCTTCCTTTTTTATCTCAAGTCTCATACACCTGCCACGCATAGCAACGCGGCCCACAGCGGCCAGATCTGGACGTCGAATAATGCAACACGCCCAGCACACTCCGGAGAGCCAGGGCAGGCCCCCGAGAGGGATGGGACACAGGAGCCACACGTGCGGAGCGTGGGCGGGGCGGGGGGTGACCGTGTTGTCGTTCCTGAAATAGCTCCTTGTCGGTTTGCTGCGAACTGAAACCCAAAAGAGCAGAGCGTGCAAACGGTGTGTCCTCTTCCAGGAATCTACACGTTCGGACTCTTCGCCACCGACATCTTCGTGAACGCGGGGCAGGTGGTCACAGGGAACCTGGCCCCGCACTTCCTGGCCCTGTGCAAGCCCAACTACACGGCGCTGGGCTGCCAGCAGCTTACGCAGTTCATCAGCGGCGCGGAGGCCTGCACCGGCAACCCCGACCTCATCACCAGGGCCCGGAAGACCTTCCCCTCCAAGGAGGCGGCCCTCAGCGTCTACGCCGCCATGTACCTGACGGTGAGTGGGGGCTGCAGGCGGCCGCGGCCGGCCCGCTCCCTCCCGGGGGCAGGTCCCAGTGGCAGCTTCCTGTAGGCCGTTCAATTGAGGCTTAATAATAGCTGTGCTGTGAATAAAATGAGTGTCGGCTGACTCTCGGGAGGTTATGTGTGGGTAGTCGGTTGTATTAAAATATACAGCCATTAGCATTTCTATTTGTGAACACTTTTGTCTTCATCTACAGGAGGGCTCACTGGAAACAAATGTATCCGGTCGCAGTCCCCATAACTTGCAGCAGCACCATTAGGAGAACCACCCGGGCCTCTTCGCTGCTTGCTCTAGCTCTGCTATTCTCTGCTGGGGCTGAGAAGGGGGCACTCTTTTTCTAGAAGGTTCTCTTGTGATTGGTAACTGTAGCACCATATGGCAACCATGTCATTGTATTTTCTTGTAGACCTCGCCAAAACGTCCTCATCGGTCATGGTTTTTCCTGGATTCTTGGGTAGTTGACATTGTGTTAGTAAGAGTCAGGGCCCAGCGCAGCTGCCTCAGCGTCTGCAGGCGGAAGGGGGGGGCGGTCCCAGGGCAGTGCCTCGCTGCTCCGCAGGCGAGGAAGAGGGCCTTGGGGGGCAGCGCGTGACCTCGGCGTGGGCGCCTCCCGCCTGCCCCTGCGCCACCAGGATCTGCCTGCCGTGCATCCCTGGGGCTGGACGCCTGACGCGTGCTCTGTAGGCTTTCCCAGAGCTGCGGCGCGAAGGTCGGAGAATATGCATGTCTTGGGGGTGCTCCGTTCCGATGGGGCCGGGAGCGCCTTCCTGCCGATTTCCACTCAGGGACGAGATCTCACAGCCGATTTGAAACCAGATTTGATCATTTCTAATGATGTGAAAAAAGCTCAGAATTATTCTCACCCTCCAAAGGCTGTTAGGTTGTGGAAAGGTTTCTCATGCTCCTGCTGCGGTCATGGCAGGCGGCCTCTCCGAGCAGAGGGGATGCACCTGTGGCGCCTCGGCTTGAGCGGGGAGCCCAGGTTCCTAAACAGAGGACAGTTAGGAGGGCGCACGTAACTCCGCACGTCACGTTCGTGACGGCAGGTACCTTTGGAGGTCAGAAGTACATGCATTTTAAGACGTGGAAAGTTAAGCCAAGCCAATTCTATGCCTCACTGCCTGGACTTTCTTGATGCCTCCATCAAGAAGGGAGGGTTGGGGAAAGATGAGGAGGGTAGAGGAGGCCAAATGCATGGGGATGGGAGCAGACGTGGCTTGGGGTGGCGCACATGCAGTGCAATGTAGGCATGATGTGTTATAGAAGTGCACCCCTGAAACTTATGTAATTTTATTAGTGTCACCCCGGTAAATTTAATAAACTTGAAAAAAATGATATAAGAAATAAAATAAAGAGCCCTGGCTGGTGTGGCTCAGTGGACTGAGCACCGGCCTGTGAACCCAAGGGTCGCTGGTTCAATTCCCAGTCGGGGCCCAGGCCTGGGTTGGGGCCAGGTCCCCAGTAGGGGGCGCACGAGAGGCGACCACACATGGATGTTTCTCTCCCTCTCTTTCTCCATCTCTTCCCCTCTCTCTAAAAATAAATAAAGTCTTTAAAAACATGTTTAAAAAATACAATGAAATAAATTTTTAGAGATGGAGGGTCAAACCCCACCCTGTCCCCCTTCTCTCCCGCTGCCCCCAAACCCCCAGCGTTCCTGTAGCCCATCGGCTCTGCCCTCTGCTTGGCATTCCAAGACTTGATGTGCTATCTGGAATCCATGCAAATTCTTTCCTGTTCACTCAGTGGCTTGACTCCACGTTCCACCTCCCCTGGAATATGAAGAACCCCTCAGTCTTCGAGTGAAGATTTACAGCTTCGGGGACTCAAAAGTCCTAAAACACTTTTCATCCATTGTCATTACATCTAAACCTAATGTTCACATTCGTATCTGGGTATGAATTGCAAAGCTATCGACATACAGGGATGTGATCAAGCCAGCGGCTTGAGACAACCTCCAGAGTACTCTCTCTCAGGCCCCAAATGCCGTTCTGGGCTTATCTCAGCTCTGGAGCGGATGGATCTCACTGCGTGACCAAGGTTTGCCCGCGGCGGCACGTGAGCTCGAGCCGTGAAACGCTGGGTCCTTTCCTTCTGCCAGAATGGCGCTTTCAAAGGCATTGCTGTGGGAGGGGCATTAGCCTTCTTTGCACGGGAAAATCTGAACACCTTGCCTTGCCCCCGGTCTGCCGGCACGTGTTTTCGCAGCTTACTGGCTGGCATTTTATCTAGGGAGCATCCCGATTAGACACCGTACTGTTCTAGCCTGTCATCAAGACGTGGAGATGTTTGTGATGACAATAATGATAACATTTACTGAGCATCGACCGTGGCAGGCACCAAGTGCTGCCCTGTTGCTCATTCCCACACCACGGATTCCTTATGAATTATCAAAGTTTATTCTTTCTTTGTTATTTATGTAATAATTTATTACTTGTACTAATCCACTGGGTTGAGACAGCTCCTTAAAGCATGTCCTACTGTGCCCAGATCCACAGAGCCAGAAACCGCCCCGACTGCTGTGGTTCCGGATGTTCCGGAGAGGCGCTCCTTACATCAGTTAGCCTCACCTCGTGCACGGCCAGGCGCATTCCTTCCTGCTCCCGTGTAACCTCGGCGCCCCTCAAGGTTAGCGCCCCCGGTTCGGCTCCCAGATGTGTTCCGAGGAGGGACCCGCAGGGGCTCTCCCGCACCCAGGGACCCTCTATCCCTGGGCCGCGCTGAGGCAACAAGCCAGGCTGCCTGCCTGTAATTACACGGACGGGATCCGCTGTCGTTTCAACAATAGGTTCTGCTCTGAGCGAACCGCTCTTCTCTCCTCTGCCACGCTGCGCGTGTGTGCGCGCGTGCGTGTGGGTGGCTGCTATGGCAACGCGGCAGGGCCCCGACTGCACGCGTCGGCCCTCCGGTCAGGGTGCGCGCTGCGTGTGAACCGACGTCCACGCGTGTTTCTTCCCGGCTTCGCCAGGGACACCTTGGGAAAGCTTTATGGTGGAAGCGTTGGCTGTTTCAGACTTGCACCGGCGCATGAAATGCTGGCCAGGGTTTTGATAAGCAGGGAAACGGGGACGAGTCCCCGACAGCCGGTGATCTCCGTGGGAGCAGGCGCAGGGGCGGGTTTAGGTGGAGACACATTTGCTGAACGTGGTGCGGGTGCCGTAAACATCGGTAAACACGTAAAGAACACTAAGTGGGCCCTATTAGGACGTGTGTGAGTCAGAACGGGGGGATGTTTTCCTGATGCTTCTCTTTGAGGATTAGTAAATAACACTAAGGAACTTGAACTTTCCCGTAGCATCTGGCTTTAATTAAGGGTTTGGGGATAATTTCACCAGATTGTTCTCTTTTACCTTCCTGAGAATGTTTAGAAGAAAAAAAGTCCCTAGGCCTATTTTGGCAAGTACTGTTGGCTTCCCAGAAAAAACACTCTGAAGGTTATTGAACCCTTAACCATCAAATTTACAGTTCAGTGTTAATTGCATTAGAATAATAATTAAATTTAGCTTTGTGGTATTATCTTTTCATATAAAATGAGTAAAGTCCCCCCCCCCCCCCCCAATTAAAGTAAAATGAACTTCAAAGTTGAGAATGAGGAATGATGTTTGGTGACTTTCCAGTTACTCTTACCAGCGTTTGAAACACATAAAATGATCTCTTCAGGTCACTCCTAAGTCTGACCTTAGATTTTCTGAAAATGTTTTTAAAAAAAGAAAAAAAAAAAAGGAAGGGTCCGCTACACACGTTGGCCTGCCCCCATTACCCGCCGCTGCGTAGGAGACCACCCTGAAACTCAGCACCGGGCGTCATCCTCCGGGGCGGGGGGAGGGGCGCGGGGGGCGCGGGAGGCTGACCTGGTTCTCCTGGGCGCCGAGCCCGCCTCTCTCCCGGGCTGCACTCCGCCTCCCTGCGTCCCCAGGAGGCCTCTGTGCCCCTCGTTCTCCCTGCCGGGGTCGCAGAGCCGCCGTCCAGGAGGGCCCGGCCCTCGCCCTGGCCACACCCCCTCGGCCGGATCTTCGGGTCCACGTGACTCTCAAGGCCGCCCGGGTGGGTGGGTGGGTGCGGGGGTAGTGTGGCCTCCACGCGCAGGGGGGAGGCAGAGCAAAGTCTTAAGTTCACTGGGATGGGAGGACTTCGTGGACATTAAACAATTGACCGCGGTCTCTCCCGGGAATAGCAGTGGAAAGGCCTAAAAAGATCACTTCTCTCCTCCTTCGTCGGGGCCATTCTCACCCGACAGCTGTCTCCTGTCATCTCACCCTGAGCAGCTGCGACTGCTCTCGGCCGCCAAGGCCGGCGAGGAGCCAACGGCCCCGGCTTCGGTCCGCCTCCCTCAACGACCTCCCACCTGGCTCCAGGCCCCGCGTCGGGACACAGGGATTGGCGGGGCACCCGCGCTTGCCTTCACGGGACGCGTCAGGGACCGCGTTGCAGGAGCAGGACCCGGGCGGGCGAGAACAGCCCCACCGTGGCCTGCTCGTCTCCGCCTGCGGCCGCGCCCGGGCCGCGCCCTTTGATGCTGACGTTACCCGTGGGAGGCGCCCGGGCGCTGGACTCCAAGGGCGCGCGTTTGCGTCCACAGGCTGGCGCATCGGCAGCGTTTGCTGAGCGCCCGCGCGTGCTGGGGTTGCTGTGCGGCCGCTGGCGCCGCCGGCGCTGCCGTGAGCCAACCGGCCTGTGACCTGCAGCCTTCAGCTCCGGTTATGGGGTTGGGGTACAGGAGGCCCGTCGGACCCCGCAGTTCACTTCCCCGGGCCCCTGTTATAATCAGCGCCCCTCCCCCTGCGCCTCCGTGAATTCCACGCGTTTAAATCTTCTATCTGACATGCTAGTGCTTTCCCAGCCCGACTTAGGCCCAGATAGTAAACCATGGTTTGTCGTAACCAACGGTGATCATGCTGCTTTCAAATGGCACACGTACAATGGTTTCAGTTGCACCGCACAGTTACTACATACTAAGCACATGATTAAAGACA